AGAGAGCTGGAGAGGATAAGGTCAGAACAGGCTCCAGCAGCTGTTGCTGATGCTGTGACAGCATTGATCTGTGTGGAGGAAAGCTGCAACCTCTTCCTTCATCTCTGGACTTGCAGAACTTGTGATTCCGTGAGCTGGTGACTGCGGTGACTCGCAATCCCAAGGCAGCTGCCTTTCTGAGAAGCTCACCTCTACAAAGCACACACCATTGCTGAGAGAGCAATTTCTCAGCCCCCTCAAATGAAGGGTGCAAGAAAACAGTGCCTTTAATTATGCCTGCTTGGGAGAGAGGTGAGTGAGGAGCTTGTGCGATCACAAGCCTTGGGGGCTGTTAGATTTTCTTCTCACCTGTTCTATCAGTAAGAAGCGGATGGGGGAAGCACATGAGTGTTCACACATTCACTCTGCCACCCCTGCTGGGTGCAGTAACTCTTCCTGTGCTGGTGAAGGATGCTGATGGAAACTTCAGTGGGAGGACCAGTGGCCTTGCTGGAAGTGATGAGGACCTTTGTGCCTGGGCTGCTGCAGCACTGCAGAGCATCGTCACTGCAGGATCCTGAGCAGCGCTGGGTGAATGCAGCACCCTTTGAACATACATGCCTCAGTCATGTTGGTAAATTAAGATTGCTATTCTTGTGCTGGCTCTATCTCATCCTGAATTGGTCCTGTACCCAGGTTAGGTGGGCTCAGTACCACCTAGTGATGTGAACCTGAACTGTAGCTCTGCTACACTGGATGTGAGAGGCTTTTCCTCAGGCAGTGATGGCAAAGGATGTGTGCCAGGTTCGGTGTCAGCAGCAGAGTTGTGCTGTTCTCAAAAATAACCAGGTGCCAGAATTGTTTGTCACATGAAAAGGTGTGCTGGCACTTCATCCCTCCCTGGCATCACCTGGAAGGCTCAAGTGAGCTCTGACAAAGCCTGCACACCATTCACAGTGTAATTAGCACCACAAGTCTTGCTAATTGCTGAGGGTTTTTTTTCTTCCCCCTCCCTTTTTTCAGCACAAAATTTCTCTAGTTATCTTGAGTTATCATCATGGTAGACGGTATGCTAAACCTGGATGCTCCTTCTGAGGGCTGGTGTCAGGAATAATCACTGCCATAGTAAGCTGATCAGCCTTTCCTTATTAGCTGCTGTTGTTGTCACCCGACATTGATTAGTAATTTGTAGCTGCCCATGCTTTCCTCTGCCCTCAAAGCCAAGGGTTTGCTGCTGTGCTGTTCTGCCAAGGATAAATGAACGTTTTACCCCCTTTGCTACCTACCCCAGAGCTTCCCTGTCTAGAGTGTGGTTTTTAAATCTCCATCTCATGGCTGGGAGAGCAGCAGCAGCCGTGTCTGAATGCTGACTTTGCAGCTGAAAATTGCTGAGGGTCCCAGCCAGCTGCAGTGGTGGAAGATCTTGAAGTGAGTGACCCAGTGGTGGAACAATGTTTGTAATTTCAGGCTGAGAGCTTCACAGTGATGCCCTCAAGTCCTGCATCATCCTGCTGGTTGCAGAGGTCAGTGGAGATGCCACCATAAATATCAAATGGCTCCAGAGGGATCTGTGATGTTTGTAGGTGGCTGCTCATGCATGTTCATGTCTGAGCTGGTGAGCAGCAGTGAAAGTGAGTTTTGGAGGAGAATGAGGAGAAAACACACCTGTAGCCTCTATCCTGTTGTGAGATGTTCCGTTTGTTTTGAAGTAAGGCCACTTGGCAACTCGAAACTGCAAATTCTCGGAGAAGGGGAGCTTTCCAACCAAGACCTGGGGTCAGGGGTCCTTACTCACAGCGCTGACTCCCTCTGTGGTGTGGTCTGTCTCTTATGTTTCAGCTGCTCCTATCCAATGCTGAGAGCCACGTGCCATCACTTGTTTGTCTGACCTGCTGCTCTGTGGACCAGCTGTGCCTGTCAAAGCAGGGTCAGAGAGCAGAAGGCAGGCTTGCAAGCCTATGCTGGGATGGAGAGGGAGGTTTGGAGGAAGGAATAAAGGAATGCAAGTGCCTTTTATGTGATCTGTGTCTCTTGTGTCAGCATGTTGCTGGTTTACATATTGTCTCAGGACCTCAGCAGCGAATCTTTTGAGTATTTTGGCTTGTCCAACATAGCCCCTTGCAGAGTGACATCCCAGGAGATGCTCTCCCATCAAACACCTGCATGCAAACAATAATCTACCCTGGGCAAGCCCTCTGTGGAGGGGACATGGAGAAAGTCTTGGGCTGGCATGGAGCGGAGCACTATCCCCATCCATCTGTGCCAGCCGTGCCGCCGGTGCCGGGAGGCAGCGTGTGCCATCGCTGTCCGTCTGACACAGCAGGTATAAATCATGCATGGGCAGCAGAGACGGCAGGGAATGCGCCTCCTCTCACCCCTACTCTGACTAGCATCCCTCTGATGCCAGGGGGTGTCAGGGGGCAAAGCTTGATGTCACTTCTTGGCACTCTAAGAAGACGTTATTCAAAGAGACGGTGACCTCTCCTGGCATGCAGAGCGCTGCCGGGGACCTCCAGCCCCGTGTCTGCGGCAAATCAAATGATGTGCTGTGGGAGTGGAGGGCTGGGACTCAGACATTCATCACCTGCCTGCTGACCGTGGAGGAGAGGAAGAGAGCTGCCAAGAAGCACCCCCCCATCAGCCCTCGGAGGCGCCAGTAGCTTAAATCCTGGGGTGTCTTCTTACTCATCCATTAGTGGACACTAACCACAGCTCCCTGTGCAAGCACCTTAATGGCTGCCTCATCTGGACAAGCCCTAATTAAGACTGAGGAGTGGTTTCTTTTCAAAACCTGCACTCAAGTGTTTTTCTAGTTTCTCACCTTCCCAGATGAGATTTCCAGGGCTCTGGCTAGGTGATTTTTCTTTTCTTTAGCAGTTCCAGTGATTCACCAGTTTAAAAACGTGAGAGGACTGCAGGACACCCAATGAGGCTTCCTTTCTGATCACACATTCAGGGGATTTTATTATCTTTTCTTTTCCTCTCCAGAGAGCTCAAGCTCTGAGGTAGCTCAGGTAGAAACCTGCAAACCACAGAAATTAATCTTTGATGACAAAGGCTTTCTGACTAAGCACTGGTCTGGATTTCAGGATGTGGCTGACACTCCCAGGTGTGCTTGCAAAGGTGGAGGGAGCACTGGCGTGTCCCACCACTGTGGCAGTGGATCACAATAGGGTGTGCACTCTCCATGGGACAGAATTAGGAGCTCCAGGCCACTCTCTGCATGTGACAGTGACTGTGTAGTGCTGTTGTTGGGGGTCTTGGAATGTGAGACCAGCAAAATGTTAGAGATCTGCGTCTTGCTTGGAGGCTGCTCTGTAGGGCTGAGAGGTTTTTTTCTGCTTGGAGGCTGCATGCTCCAGCTCCTGTTCTTCACTGGTACAATCCAGTCTACACCAGTGACTAAGGGCCAGCCTTAGTTTACCTAACATGAGGATGTTACCTTTGACCTCAGCTGAATTCCCTGGCTCATCCTCTCCCCTGTGATCTACCCAGCTTCTTGTTCAGTTTGCCCCTGCTGTGGAGTGCTCAGCCACAGGAGCACTGCTGGCCCTTGGCTGCTGGTTCATGGATCACTGGAAAGGATAGAGGCTGCTGTGCTCTCCCCTTTCCTTGTGCTTTGGGGTAGGTGTGGGTTCTGCAGCACTGAACCCACCAGTGGAGGCACTGCAGCACCCCTGCAAGTGTCCTATGTGTTCAATGAACTGTGTTCCTCTGTGGAGGACCTGCCTCCCTCTGCTGATTAGGGGGTGCTGGTGAGACAGAGACCCACTCTGGTCTTGTGTGATAGAGTCAGCAGCATGTGACTCGATCTGTTGACTTGGAGAGCAGCATGGGGCAAAAAACGTTGTGGAGGATGTGTGTGCTGTGGAGTATAGGTCTGATTTGAAGTGGTGTCTGCTGGGATCTGAGCCTGCCTTTGCAGAGGACTTTGGGTGGCTGGCACTTTCTTGTGTGCAGCAAGAGTTTGAGATCCTCGGCTAAGCCAGGTGCTTTCACACCTATTTCCATTTCCCAGGCACTGCAGTGATGCTGCATTGGTGCCTCCCCACAGGAGGGTTCAGTCCCCTCAGGATGCTCTGCTCAAGGGTGTAGAGAAGCTTCCCCAGCTTCTCACATCTCCCCGAGCAGGTTGCAGAGGGCAAGACAAGCTTTCAAACACCTCAAAGCAGAAGGAACAATTGCTACCCAAGCTCTGGCCAAGTTCTCCGAAGAAGGAAAGAAAGACCCAAGTGTTGCAACATCCCTTAAAGCTCTCTGAGAAGTGATGGCCGAAATCTCCTGGAGTCTGGTCCATGCTGCGCTCCCAAACCTCAGGTTCCCTGTCGCTTCTGGCAGCTCTCTTGCGTACAGGTGCCTGGGGAGTACGGAAATTCCTGCCAGGTTTTCCCAACCCTTTTCCCAGGCAATGGGCCTCTAGATGGCAGTGTTTCTGTTCAGGAGCCCCGCCGCTGCTTCCCGGGCTGGCTCCGTGGATCCCTTCCGTGCTAGGCTTTGGAGAAGCTCCGAGATTAACGCTGGGCTGAAGTGGACAGCTTAGCGCCCGCTGCCTCTTATCGCGTCCTCAGTGAGAGTGGCTTGAATTGTGTGACCTTGGGGGAGCAGCGGTCTTAGGCTGGACAGTAGTTTCTGGCTGTCCTTCCCCACCCCGTGGTGAAATTGGCTCAGGATTGATTGTTCGGACAATTGCCTGTTGGTCAGGGGGATAGCAGGGATTTTTGGAGGTGGTGGGCGTCCTTTGGTGTGACAAAACTCAGCTAGTTTTCTCTGTGTGCTTGGGGATGCAGACAGAGGGTCTGCTCTTCCCCATATGGGTGGAGGCTGCCTGTGTGGGACTAGGGCCTTGTCTTTGGCTGGAGGAGAGCTGGGAGCTTAGGGAAGGAAAATGTTGCTGGAGAGAGGACTGTCATTACTGATGCACACTTAGAGCTGTCACTTGCTGTCACCTCCTCCCTGCACCTGGCTCTGCTCACTGCCCGAGTGATGGGGATCCTGGGCTCAACACCCTTCTCCTTTTCCAGGGCTTCTGCTGTGATGCTGGATGGAGACCACACCTCAGAGGCTGTGCCTGTGTTTATCTTCTCTCCTGGGTGCCAACGTGACAGGTACTTTCTTTGTCCATATAAGCGTCAAGGGAGAAAGATGGAGGGAGCCTGAAGGCTGCAGTCCCTCACTGGCTGCACTTGATAGCTTTGCTTCAAGCTTGTGGCCAATCCCACTTGGCTTCTGACCACGTTTTATCGTGGACTCAACCCATTTGGGGTCAAGAAAAGGAGAGGAAGACTCAGAAAGCCAGGGATGTGTTCCTGTCCCTGAGCACTGTGAAATGCAGCACATGTGTAACTGGGGTACTGTAACTCTTCCCTATTACAGCCCTCCTGGAAGCTGGCAACAAAATTCAGCCCCTTGCCAAGGCCCCCAGAGAGCTGAGCACAGGGGAAGGGAAACACCATATCCAGCAAAGGTCTGGGCCATTTGTACTCATCGTGGCTCCTTGGGGTTTTATGAATCTAAGTGTACACTCATCTTGGGAGAACTGGGTTTACTCTGTGGACCAGAAATAGAGGCTAGACCCAGATCTTGCTTGAACTTGGCTGGTGTGGTGACAACAGCTGACCTGGGATGTGGGGCAGTCTCCTCTTCAGCTAATTCCTACCACTTCCACTAAGAGAAGTGTTGAGGTGGGTGTGACAGTGTTTCCTTCCTGTATGGCAAAGATGGTAGGAGCAAGCCCTGCTCCTGAAGCTCTCCTCTTGTACTCCATCCCCTCCCTCTCCCCTCTGGCAGCCTGGCCCCTTGCCCAGGGCTGCTCATGCTCCCCCTCAGCGCTGTGGAGGAGCCTGGAGCTGCTCCTGAGCAGCAGAATGATGCTGGTGCTGCAAAGTGTGGAAGGGGGACTGGATTTCAGGTGCTGCGGGAGATGCTAGTCACTTCCTAGCTCTGCCACAGCAGGGGAGAAATCATTCCTATGTCCCTGTGCATCATTTCCCCCTACATAAAACAGGCAGTGATCCTTTTCTTGCTTCCTTGAGTTGATGCCAAAGGAGAGAGACAGGTTCCTCCTTGGTTTTCCCCCAGCACAGCTGATGGTCTCTTTGAGGTTGGTGTGGTCATGCCTGAGCTTTCCAATCCCCCAGGAGACCTTGGACCTGGCTTTGCAGGAGTGTGGCAGCAGAGATGAGCTGTCTGGCTGTGCCTCAGCCTCTCAAGGCCGTGAGACAGCTTTCCCCCAGCCTGTGCAAGAGCTTTCTCTGCCAGTCCTGCACCTGCAGCCTGGGAAAATGGCTCCAGTCATGCTGCAGCGGGCATGGACAATTGATTATAAGTGGTCATAGATTACCTGGAGCAATGCTATTAAATTTAATACACTTCTCCACTGGCTCTTGGGGCTCAGCTTTGGCTTGTGTAACTGACATCTTGTTGCAAAGCATTTTGGGGACATGGCAAGGGGCGGGAGGCAAAGAGATTCAACTGCAAAAAGAGGGAGAAGAAGATGAGTTTCTGTTGAGATTTATTTCCTGCCCTATAATAGGCCAGAAAAGCTGTGTAAACCTTCTCTGTTTGTGGAACAAATACTGCAAGAGTTACTGCTCTGACCTTTTTTTTTCTTTTCCACTGGACAATTGTCTGTGCCCTTGCTATTCTGAAGCCTTGATATGCTGGTGGCAGATTTATGCCATGTTGAAACCCACTTCTTATTGCCTCAGAGTTGATTGGAGGAGAGGAAACTTGCTTGCTAAAAAAATAAACCCGCTACTGTGTGCCCTGCATGCCAAGCTGGGCTTGATGTTTAGGAGTCCTCTTTTCCTTGTCAGCTCCTTGTCTCCTGTCACTGTGTCATGTTTGAAAGGTGAGGGACCAGCTCCAAAGAGGATCACCACTGGATTTAGGCAAGAGTGAGATACCTAATGAGCAACCCACACTGTGGTGCAGCGAGGCCACTGCTTCCTCTCGAGGGAAGGGTTGTTCAGCGTGCAAGTCCTGCCCTGGCTTAACAAAAGCTTGTGGCAAATCCCCATGTGAACACTCTCACATTGATTTGGCAGCTGCTAAATTTGGGAATAAATCCACCTTCCATGGCAGCAATAGTAAATCAGATGAGGCACGTCCAGTGGGGGTTTGGAGTCCACTACAAAAGTGCATTTGGTTTGTGTGTGGTTCAGAGCCTGCCTGTGCTGGGAAGGACTTGGTGCTAAAGCTCTGTGCAACAAACCTCAGAGTTTTAATCCTGTCCTGGGGGAGATCCCAGGTGAGATCTCAGTGCTTTTTGGAGTCTTCACCACCCTGCAAGCCTCTGATACTGGTGCTTAGAGCCCCTTTTCCCTCTGTACCAACACAGAACTGACAAGCCAACGGGGTTGTATAGTAGCCAGACAGCCTAGAGAGGCTGTACAACAAAGGCCACTTGGAATCATCGAGCTTCCCCTTGAGTGCCACACAATGCCACTTGCCAGCCTCAGCTTCTCATAAGTGTTGGGTGGGTTTGAGGTCTATTGCTCCTGGCCCTGTCCAAGCAGGGGTGGTTCTGCCTGTAAGTTTTATTCTGGGTAATACAGGATTCTTGTGGTAGCTGCTAAATGTCAGCCCTCATTAGGAAGTATATAATCTTGGGGATGTGTTTCTCCTTGTGTTGGAGGCTGCTGGTGTTTCACTGAGTGTTTGAGTGAGGAATCAGGCCTGTATTTGTGTATGTCCCCGTGCACTTCCTCCTGCAGGTGACAGGAGAGCAGAGGGTGTGGGGTTTATCCATGTGTCTGTGTGGGCAGCTCTGCCAAGGCTGTTTGTCAGCTGGAATCCCAGCACAAGGCTCTGCAGCATCAGCCACAGCTTCTTTTTTTCCTTCTGTCACATTTGGAAGGAGGGAAGATGTAGCTGAGTCTTGCAATAGTAGGTCAAAACATACTGCAGCACTAAACATCAGAGCAAAAGCTTTCTTGTACATACACATGGTTTTATTCATCCTGTTATTTTCTTTATCAAATGCTTACTTGCCTTTACAGAGCAGCTTTCAGCCCCAGGGAAAAAAAGTGACTCTGGGAGGGAAGCTGGGCTAGTGACTGGAGTGGGTGACAGCTATGGAAAATGGGCAATCTGGACTTTTATTCCTGATTCTGCTCTGGCTCCTGTCCTCCAGATCTCTGTGAGGAGCTGAAGGAATGAAGCACAGGGGCTGTCACTGCATGTGTACGTGGCACACAGCCTGGTGGCACCCCTAGAGCACCCTGGGCACAGCAAGAAATGCCAGTCATGCTTGCAGCTGTTTCTGGCTGGCTAGCAGTCTGGTTAGGGTACCTTGGTTAGGGTGCTGGAACGAGCTCTTTTATCCAGGCAAAGCTTTGCCTGGGATTCTTCAACGTCCAGACATGTAGACAGCTTATTTTTAAGGTCTCATTTGAAAGATGTCAGCTCCCCCTCCCTAGTCTTCCCCAGGCAGTGAGAGCAGAAAACTAAATTTATCTGCATTGGGACAGGGAGAGCTGGAGTAAACCAGCCAGGAGCTGCTCCAGATCTGCTGTGGGGAACAACTGGCGCAGAGCTGTCTGTCTGTCCGAGTCAGAGGTGCTGGGGTGCAGCTGATGCTGGGCTGACTGTGACACCTGCACTGCGTTTTCCATTCCTCTCCCTGGGGTTCCAAATTTGCTGGAAAGTTTGCCTTGTTGAGGTGATATTTTGTCAGTCTCTGGGTTAATATGTTTCTTCTGTAGGTGAGGCAAAGCAGTCCCTCTGCTTGTTGGGAGGCAGATGGGGAACTACAGTCCTTCCTTTGCTTCCCAGGACCTTGTGAGAACCCCAGGGTGGAAACAGTTCTGGAGAAGAGGTGAAGTCCTTATTGCTCAGGAACTTTGGAATATCCTGTAGGTAGTGGGTAGGAATGGGTACTGTGAAGGACTCAAATATTTTCAGTTTGGGGGTAGCTGCCCACAGGGCCCTTTTTGGTTTCATTCTTGATTGGTGGAAGGGAACACAGGGCAGATGTTTGAATGGGTGTGTGCTGCACACTGCTGTGTGCCTAAGGTAAAGAAGAGACTCTTTACTGTGTTCCTTCCTGAGGCTGTCTGGGGCATGGGCAGGTGGGGAATCAGTGGGATCTGTTTTTTCTTTTCCTCTTCCTAAAACTAGAGCATCCTTCTCTGTCAGGCTGCTGCTAATGAGTTAGTTAAACAGCATCTCCTTACTGGAAACTCTTTTCAGTCCAATTAAGATCTTGCAACATGTCAGTTGTGACAATAAACGTGAATTAAGGCTCATTTCTCCTTTTTTATGATGTTTATTAGAACATGGGAATGCTCATTTAGAGGAGCTAATTGTGGTTATTTATTTGTCAGTGGTACCAAGAAGCCCCTGCTCAGGCTAGAGACCCAGTGCCAGATGCTGTATGTTCTCATGGAAGGAGTGGGAGCCAGCCTTGGAGAACCATGCAGGAAGAGCCCAGGTGAGGCAGGGAGACTCCTGTGACCATTTAGCCCCAGCTGCAGGATTTGCTGCTGCTTGGAGATGCTGTGAGAGGCACTGGAGTCGAAGAAGGCAAGAGGAGAATGTGTAATTCATCTTCCCTCTCAAGCTGCTTTGATTCAATGGCTTGGCCAGGACTTAAAGCAAGCTCTTCTAAGAGTTGGGCTGCTAGTGAAGATGCTTTCCAGCTCACCTAACAGGGAAAAGGGAATTATTTTTTGCTGTGGGGAACCCAGGCAGGTAGATATAATAGAGAAGGCCTGTAGGAAGGTTCAGTGCTTCACCTTGTTTTCAAGGGGAGCTTGGTTTGTGCTTCTCAAACCCCTAACCAATAAAATTAAAATATCCAGTAATTAAGAGCAGAAATCCAAGGACGTGGAGGCACAGAGACTGAGAAGTATTCCAGGAAGGAGAAAGTCAAACTAATGATCCTCCCCTGCTGCCTGTCCTGCAGAGAACCAAGAACAGTCAACCCTCAGTGTCTCTCCCTGTGAGGGTGACCCCATGCTGGAGGAAGGGGGGTAAGGGTCTGGCCCCCCTTGCCCTGAGGTTGCCATGTGGGGAGGGGCAGAATTTACTGGAGACAAAAGGCATTGAGCACAATGAGACAAATTTTCCTGTGGCCTTCTGCAGTCCCATGCTGGCATCAGTA